AATACATATTAAAATACATCTTTTGACATTATCTTTCTGCACAAAAGCAATGCCACAATTACAAGGTGTGGCTTACCATATATCATGATATATGGTTTTCTGTTTCTCTCTTCCTCCAACATCTTGTTATAGCTCTTTACAGCGTCTGCCATGATATTCATACTGAGAATACCGAGCTAACTTCTTCCAAAGAAATTACATTGTACATTCTATCAATTGTTTTCAATTCTACATAGTGCCATAGAAAGCTCGCAGGCGCAGCGAGGCAATTGACACCCTTTTCTAAGTCAGTGTACCATTGAAATAATTTTGAAGCTGTTAAAAAACACTACTTAATGTTGCTTTAACTCAGTCTGTGCTTGTACTGGCTGATTATCCAGCATCTCTGCTACTGGCAAACTTAAGCATAGCACCTCTTAATTATAGATAACATTGCTATTATTCATTTTATAAGCAGTATCAGACTCATTCAAACTGGCTCCTCCAGATTAACTTATATACATTAATACATATATATATACTGAACAAAATTATAAACGCAACACTTTTGTTTTTTCCCCTATTCATCATGACCTGAGATCCACGACTTTCTACACAAAAGGCCTTTTCTTCTGAAATATTGTTCACAAATCTGTCAAAATCTGTGTTACTGAGCATTTCTCCTTTGCCGAGATTATCCGTCCACCTCACAGATGTGGCATATCAAGATGCTGATCAGACAGCATGGGTATTGCACAGGTGTCTTCACATAGGCACTATATTTTGATAATTAAATGTGCATTAAATAGCCTATATCTCTCTATTATTGCTTTTTAAATGAAAGCTTATGTGTCTAACTATACACCTCAACCTTAAAAAAGAAATCATACCATAATATAGACATGTGAGTCATTTATATTGTAACAATCTTTCTTAACAAAAAGACAGCATATAAAATCCAGAGTATTCAATCAGTGCAATGCTGTCACACATCCGGCAGGCCACTGTGCACGACACAGAACCCTTGTGCAGTTTGGATTCATTTTCACTGACACTTTCCAGACAAGTATTTCATTTCTTCCACTCTCGTTATCGTCTGTACTTTTGCATGCGCTTTTGTTTCAGAGGGGACGTGGGGGGTTTATGTTCAGGGACACATTGGTGTCTCACAGTGGATTCGAACCCTGGTCTCTCACACCAAAGGCATGTGTCTTATCCACTGCTCCATCACCACCCCCCCAATACGTGATCCTTCCATATATATGTGTACCTACTGTAATACTCCCCCAAACCAGCTGAATGGTATGTGCCGTGGATAAGTGTACCAGTGCAAGTGAATCAGTGTACTCATTTGCACTCATTTACTGACTCAATGATGATCAGAGATGGCATGGAGTACATACTCAAGTACAAGTCATTTTCACAGCAGCATGGGATTAGTCAATGCAATGCTGACAAAATAACCTCACCTAGTCAGCCATTAGAACAGTTAGCCAAAGTTAAGACTGCATTAGAAAACTATGCTAGCTACAAAAACATATGCAGCGCTGTATGACAGTGAGTGACCACCAGCAGTAGGTGACAGTCTCACTTTATGATAGCGTCATGATTATGGTACAATCATTGACCTTAATTGAACTAATCATCATCATTATCCAACGAAGGTTAAAGTCACGGGCAACTGGACTTGGTTGAAGATATTGGAAGACATTTCGTCCCTCATCCAAAGGACTTCTTCAGTTCTGACTGACTGGCAGGGAAATTCAGCTATTTAACCTCAGTGGGGTCATTTGCCAGGGTCATCGATACTGCTGGTTCGTTAGTGTTCCTGGTTGCTGTAACGACAGTCGTTACAGTCGTTAGGACTACTGGTGGCCGAGACTGAACGACCATCGTTGGTATCTTCACCTGAGGCCAATAGGTTACGTTTGTTGAGTTTCCTGGGAAGTGATGAAAGGACAGCATTGTAAGTGGGGGATAAGTGGTGGCGTAGACCCCCTCCTCTGTTCAATGACGGCTTCTCGACCCGGGTGTAGATGGCTTCCTTGACACCTCTTTCAAACCATCCATCTTCTCTGTCTAAAATGTGCACCTGGTGGTCCTCATATGAGTGTCCTCTGTCCTTCAGATGTAAGTAGACTGCAGAGTCTTGACCTGAGGAGTTGGCCCTTCTGTGTTGAGCCATGCGTTTGTGTAGTGGTTGTTTAGTCTCCCCAATATACAGGTCTGTGCATTCCTCACTGCATTGGACCGCATACACTAGATTGCTTTTCTTGTGTTTGGGTGTACGGTCTTTGGGGTGGACCAGCATCTGTCTTAGTGTGTTCTTGGGTTTAAAAAACACAGGGATGTTGTGTTTGTTGAAAATCCTCCTGAGTTTCTCTGATACTCCAGACACGTATGGAATCACAATGTTGTTGCGTTTGACCTTCTTTTCCTCCTCCCCTGTAGTTTTGTTCTTCCTGGATCTTGTGGCTGTTTTCACAAATGGCACAGCCATGCTTCTCTCTATAGAATCCTCCATTATACTGGAAGTAGGTGGTGTTTAGACAGAGGTCGAGTAATTTACAGATCTGGTCAGGGCTGAATCTAGTTCTGTTGTCCAGGGTGTTGTCTTGTGTTAGCCGTTTCCTAACAGTTTCTACTGCCTCTATGGTGGGGATGCAGGTGAACAAAGAAGTCACGTCATAGGATACCATGGTTTCATCTGGATCCAGTTTTAGTCCTCGAACTTTGTTTACAAAGTCAATAGAGTTTTGGATGTGGTGAGGAGTGTTTCCCACCAAAGGAGCTAAGATGGTAGAAATGTGTTTGGCAGTGTTGTAGGTGACCGAGTTAATGCTGCTGATAATCGGCCTGAGTGGGGCTCCTTCTTTGTGTATCTTGGGTAGTCCATAAGACATCTTGCTAATCATTTTGGGATGAACACCCTCAGATTGGTACGGGAGTATGAAAGGACAGCCAGGAAAATTGCAGACTACAGGAACCATCTACGATTTAACCTGAGATGCCAACAACACAAATTTATTCCCAACAGCCTACACTCAGGCTCCACGGTAAAAGGACACAGAGCCGGAATAATCCTGGAGAAAGCGCAACACCAGCTACTGAATGAGAGAGTGAGACAGATATATTTCACAATTGAAGCCCTGAACAAAGAATTGGACAAAATACACCACAAACTAGAAACATATCTGCCCAGTACAGCACTGGGAAAGGTCATGGACTTCATCAAGAAAGCACAGCTATCTCAGCACAACAAGAGCAAAGAAAGACAGACCCGGAAATTCCAAAACCTACAGTCCAGAGCAAGCTGCACTAACAGAACAGGAGAATTGTCTTGCAGGAGAAAGGACAACAACCCCACAACACATGAAACATACAACAGATGGGTGAAAAACCTGTCAGATACCCAACCAGAGAAAGACATTCTAGCCAAAGGATTAAACTCTGCCATTACACCACAGCAACTACCTATAGTAGACCTCATCACAGCCACAGAATCGGCCATTAGGAAAAACAAATTAACAGAAACAGAAGTGGAACAGCTCAGACTAAAGGTATCTGCAGCCCTTTCTAATGCGAAGGCCCCTGCTTCCAACCTCACCATCCAAGAAAGGAAAGCTGTGACATCTCTGAGCAAGGATCAAATCATCACTATCCTACCTGCTGACAAAAGAAGATGCCCGGTAGTCCTTAACACAGCGGACTACCAGAACAAAGTCAACACACTACTAATGGACACAAACACATATGAGACACTGAGACGAGACCCAACCAGCGAATACAAGAAAAAGGCCATCGAATGTCTACAACAGCTACAGAAGGACAACACCATCACCCGTGAACAATATTACCGATTGTATCCTGGAGAAGCCATTCCTTGCATTTATGGACTACCCAAGATACACAAAGAAGGAGCCCCACTCAGGCCGATTATCAGCAGCATTAACTCGGTCACCTACAACATTGCCAAACACATTTCTACCATCTTAGCTCCATTGGTGGGAAACACGCCTCACCACGTCCAAAACTCTATTGACTTTGTAAACAAAGTTCGAGGACTAAAACTGGATCCAGATGAAACCATGGTATCCTATGACGTGACTTCTTTGTTCACCTGCATCCCCACCATAGAGGCAGTAGAAACCGTTAGGAAACGGCTAACACAAGACAACACCCTGGACAACAGAACTAGCCTCAGCCCTGACCAAATCTGCAAATTACTCGACCTCTGTCTAAACACCACCTACTTCCAGTACAACGGTGGATTCTACAGACAGAAGCATGGCTGTGCCATGGGCTCACCAGTATCCCCAATTGTGGCACACATCTACATGGAAGAAGTGGAGAACAAAGCCCTCAACTCCTTCAGAGGAACAGCACCAAGCCACTGGTACAGATATGTGGACGACACCTGGGTCAAAATTAAAAGCCAGGAAGTGCAAGCCTTCACAGAACACATCAACTCTGTGGACAGTAATATCAAGTTCACACGAGAAGATGTTCACAACAACAGTTTGGCCTTCCTGGACTGCGCTGAACAAGTTGAAGAGGACAGGAGCCTGCAGATTGGTGTTTACAGAAAACCCACACAAACAGACCAATACCTACTCTTCGATTCACACCACCCACTGGAGCACAAGCTAGGGGTCATGAAAACACTGCACCACAGAGCGCAAAACATACCAACAAGCGCCCAAGCCAGAGAGAAGGAACAGAAACACCTGAAGGGGGCACTTACAGCCTGTGGATACCCTAAATGGACCTTCGTATTAAACCGGCCCGAGGATGAACTGTTTATTAACAGGCTGCAGTCTCTGCCTGCTGTCTACGTTTGTTGACTCCTACACACTCACACATGCGGGCGCACACGCACGCACCCGCGGCCAGCAGAGATCACGGCCGCGGTGGAGACGGTGAAGTGAAGGTAACCTTAGCTGCAAACTGTCATTTGTTTTTTTTCACAATCTCCCTTGGAATCACTCCAGAACCCCCTGTGACTCTCCTCCCCAGATTTTCTCCAAGACGAGGGGGATCTGAGTCTGTGCAAGGTTTGATGACAGCAGAAAGGCTGGCCCCACCTGCAGTCACTCTCTTTTCAAATAAAAACTGGATTGGCAGGACACACCCGTCCTTCTCCACACACCATCAAAGGGCTCTGTTGTCACCTTAGAATATTTATCTGATGATTTATGGTAAGTCACACCCTGTCATTGAAGAACCTCTTTTGTGCAGAATGATTGTAATCCATTGTAATATAAATAGTGTTATGTAGACACTAGGTCACATTCAGATGTTGTTTCAGGGAGCTTTATTTTACTATAAACAGTCTACTTACTTCTGAGTTTTATTCACTTTTGTCACTGGTAATGTGGCTTGTAAACACTTTATTACAAATGCATTTATAAAAAGAACTATATGTGATATACTGTATATGTGTATGAAAATAATACATATTAAAATACATCTTTTGACATTATCTTTCTGTACAAAAGCAATGCCACAATTACAAGGTGTGGCTTACCATATATCATCATATATGGGGATCTTGCTCAGTCACACGCTCGTTTTCTGTTTCTCTCTTCCTCCAACATCTTGTTATAGCTCTTTACAACATCTGCCATGATATTCATACTGAGAATACCGAGCTAACTTCTTCCAAAGAAATTACATTGTACATTCTATCAATTGTTTTCAATTCTACATAGTGCCATAGAAAGCTCGCAGGCGCAGCGAAGCAATGACACCCTTTTCTAAGTCAGTGTACCATTGAAATAATTTTGAAGCTGTTAAAAAAACACTACTTAATGTTGCTTTAACTCAGTCTGTGCTTGTACTGGCTGATTATCCAGCATCTCTACTACTGGCAAACTTAAGCATTTCCGAGATTATCTGTCCACCTCACAGATGTGGCACATCAAGATGCTGTTCAGACAGCATGGGTATTGCACAGGTGTCTTCACATAGGCACTATATTTTGATAATTAAATGTGTATTAAATAGCCTATATCTCTCTATTATTGCTTTTTAAATGAAAGCTTATGTGTCTAACTATACACCTCAACCTTAAAAAAGAAATCATACCATAATATAGACATGTGAGTCATTTATATTGTAACAATCCATCGAAGGGAATGTTCAAACATGTTACAGCATTGTTTGATTGTCATCTGCTAAATTATCGGCCAAATTTCATTTTCTGATATGATTCCAATAATGAAAATATCTGAAGATATTATATTGCATCAATAATTACTGTGCATCTCTATAAGGTGCGGACATAGGAGATGCCCATGCTGCAGGTGGCCGTAGTCAAGCTTTTCTCAGTGCTGCGCATGTGTTACAGGGGTAAACCCAATAGCGATAGCCTTAGAGGGCAAAGCCTATACTAAGAAGAACGCATTTGGCGGGCCTCCTTCTGAAGAATTCTTTTTTGGCCCGCAGAGCAAGAAACAGGGGCCACAAGGTGAGGGAGTGGGGGCCAGTGTCTCTATAGAAAATTACCCAGTGGGCTGCTGTCTGTGCTCTATGGGTTGGTCGCTGGCCCAGTTTTTTAAACAGCTAAATAAATAAAAAATTACGTTACACTGGCCCCAAAGGTGGGGCGGTCCACCGGGCATTTGCCAGATTACCAGTCCATACCTGCTATTGAGTACTGTCCCACTTAAAGCACTGTTTAAGTTTTAATTACATAACCTAGCCTATTGAGCAGTAGTACTACCGTATATCACCATAATTCCCAGTTCAAAGCAGCTGAGTGTAAATAGACACAGTTATGGCTCAGAAGGAATGGAAGTTTTGTGAGGTAATGCTAAATTTATTGCGAGAGACGCAAAAGCAGTCCTCCAAAATATTCTCACCCTGACACTTTAGTGACTCCATATATTCCAGCTGCAAAGTGGAGGTCATTCAACCCACAGCACAATTAGTAGTTTTACTGAGGTAATACTGAAAGTTTTCAAAATTTGTATTTGTATTGTTCAAGTTAAAAGGGATCATAAGTGATCATAAGTGTATAACCCAATACAAATTTTGTTACATTTAGTGAATATTTCATGTTTGCTATCTCTCTGTTTTTTGTGTGCTTTGAAAGGACAGCCGGTTATACACAGCCCTGGTTCAGTAAATAGAAAACAAAAAAAGTGGTGTGGACCTTGCCACGCAACATTGTTTTAGCCAATCAGCAATAGTTAGTGTTCATGCACAGGAGATATGGGTGGAGGGGGCAGTGGTGGAGAGAGTTCTATACACCAGCACATTCTAATGTGCTGGACTCCAGGCACTACAAAGGAGAGATGACAGAGAAGACTGTTATATGACCAGGCAAGGCCGAAGGCGTTTCAACACTGCTGATTTGAAATCTGTGGGGTGGAGTTTCTAGGGGAGCACTGAAGGGAGGAGTGTATTTTTTTGGCAGTTGAGTTTAAGTATCAACGATCCTTCTGCAGAATCACATACTCTCGCTTTAATTGTTTTAAGGGCACACTGATGATAATTTTCAGTTGGGAGTGCGGTAAGAAGTATTTCTTTACAGTCCCTGTATCATGGTTTGGTTTGATGATCTGTTTGTTTCCTGTTTTACTTTGAAAGTTTCTCACTTTTGTTGTCTTGTTTGTGTTTTATTTCCTGTCTGTGTTTCACCTGCGTTCACTTTGCCAGCTTGTACTTGTGTTAGTATTTATTGTCTGTGTTTCCGCTCTGTGTTGGTGAGGTTGTTGTTGCTTGTGTCTTATGCATCTGCCTGTAACCTGTACCTGTATTTTTGCTTTCTAGATTTGCTAATGATTCATCTTCTAGTGTCTGGATATTATGTTTTTTTGCTGAATAAAAAATAAATAAAAAAGGTCTTGTTAAGCATGTTTTACTGATTTACTTTTGAGAATCGAGAATATGATTTCTGTGCTTGGTTCAGGCATTAATTGTCATATTAGGGATTTTTAAAATTATTTTGTTAGATAAATATTTTGTTCTGTTTTTTCAAAGCAAATTTGTTTGTAAAAATCCTGTGAATCATTGAGCTTTTTATTCATAGAGCATAAAGTTAAACCTCTAGAGACTATACACAACAACACTATACAAAAATAGTATTACCAATTAACAACTTACTATCTTACTACAACTTACCAATGACGTGTTGTGTCATGTGGGTATGGGATAACATGTTTTTAATATGTTATATGTTATTTTACAGAGATGTTGCACCGTATTGTTTGGTTTTTGGTGGTTTTCGTGTCAGTGGATCTTGTGTCCTTTGCAGCAGCTGCTTCTTCACAAATAGGTAATGCATTAGATATTGACCTACACACATATATACAAATTTCTATTTTGTTCATGCACTGTACTGCACTTTCCCAAATCACTGCTCTCTTTCTTATTTAAATAACTGGTTTTCACTAGTCACAACACCCACAAAGAATGTTGAGACGACTAAAAACCTGATCAAGAAAAACTTTGAACGATTGGAGAAACTGAGCAACAGATCCAGTTATGTTGCAAGGAGCTGTAAAGAGATCAGGGACAGATATAATGAACAAGAAGGTAAGCAGACGTAGCCTACATGAGATGTTCCTTCTTATGCATTAGGGGAGAGCGGGGTATGTTGTCACACTTTTCACACCATCTAATATTTACTGAGCACCGTACATTACAATGGTACAAATGTCAAACCTAATGAAAGAATGAAGTCTTGGGCAGAAGTTTTGTATTCATTACATCTTCATATCTTATCTCATTATGGAGCTGTAGACTGTTGAATAGAGAGTGTGCACTTGTGACAATTTGCCCCATCGCCAGGTAAGTTGTCACACTGGATTATCAAACAGTTAGAACACTTAATTGTGAATACTGATTTCAATTTCAAATTGTAACCAGAACTAAAAGTAAAATCAATCAACAATCAAGCCTAGGGAATTTGGAAAATAAATAATTTAATTCAAAACAAAAATGTTGGCAGAGCACACATTAAGTGGGACAACCTCTTTCTTTGAACTTTAAAATCAAACGTTCTCTGGAGTGCAAATAGATCTATGGTAATTGAATGTAATGCTGCAGATAACTTGCTTAAATGTATTACTTCTTAACTAAACAGATGTGGTGTTTAAACACACTAATGAAACAATGTGAATTTTGTGTACGACCTACATATGTATCTGACTAATCAGACATGTCTTTAGTGTCACAGTTCTGGCACACATAAATTGCCTGGCCTGAGGTGCAAGCATTGCAGGCCCATTTGTTGCATTTCACACACTTAAACAACGTCTTCTTTCGAATATTGTATGAAAATGGCTCCACATAGGTGAGGCCAATAGGGATGTTGGCGGCTTACGTCAAAATTCTTCGCTGTACTTCTGATTGATTTGTTCTTCAACTTCACCTGCCTGACTGCCATAGTTTTTTGAGCATGTTCTATGTGTTTATTTGTACAGCTGCGACAATGAGACAACTTGCCCCAAACTGACATGTGTGCTAATGTTGGCTAAATCTCAAGGTTAGCTTAACATAGCACTTCAGCTGAAGTATCAAAAGACACGTTATTGTCTCCTCTACTTTGTGCAAAGTTATCATTTTGAACATTCATACCTAATATGGTTGGAATACATAAAATGTAAAGTGCAAATGTTTTACTTTTGAAGCAAAAAAATAATAACATTGTGCTCACCTCAGATTAGAGTGACCTTGACCACATGTGAACAGGAAGTTGAACATAGAAAAAGAAGTCACACAAAATGGCTATTTGATTTTTGACATAGAGCCTCTAGTGTTGGAGTTATGAGCAGTGTGACAACTTACACACGAGACAACGTACCCCGCTCTCCCCTACTCTTAACATTAAACTAATGTACATTAAGTGCAATAGAAAATTAATTATTTAAATAATTGTTTGCAGTCCCCTTAAGCAATGTTTAAAACTAATATTTTGGCAAACAACTCAACACCGGATGACCAATAAATCAAAACAAAGTTGGGTATTTTCACTTATTAACATTAACCATTATTTTCCCAGATGGGTTGTACTACCTAACCACTGCTAATGGCATGGTCTATCAGACTTTCTGCGACATGACCACTGCGGGAGGCGGCTGGACGCTGGTGGCGAGCGTCCATGAGAACAGTATTTATGGAAGGTGCACAGTGGGAGACCGCTGGTCGAGCCAGCAGGGAAACAATGCTGAACTGCCAGATGGAGACGGGAACTGGTCCAACAGAAACACCTTTGGAACAGCAGACGGGGCCACCTCAGATGATTTTAAGGTGCACAAACATGCTGCACACACAAGTATTCTCTCTCTCTTGTATAAAACACTGTAAAATACTTTTTAAGAAGTTCATGTGATGACATTATAAAATTACTGCTTTTGAGAGGTGCCTACTCAGTAATTTACCCAGACTCGTTGAGATCAGAAGAGAAAATGGATCCAGACTCAAAGAAGGTTTATTGTTACATTACTTTATGATGCCACAAGATGGTGTAATTTGTTAAATGCACACATGTGCCTTATTGTAATTCACAATGTTGAGCTTACCCAACTGGTTGGCATTTATCTGGGTGATCACAGGGATGTGTGAATATCTGTTAACTGGTTCTGTTACTGGTTAATCAGATTTATTGCATGACTCATTATTGACACAAAGGTTGTTGCTCTTAAACATTATCCACTGAGTCAGTGTATCGGTGAAGGATATATCAAATAGGCCGATAGACAGAAGGTTTGCAAAGTGATTTAATGGTACATTGGAACAGTAAGTTTAATATATTTGAAGTACAAATATACATACTATACATAATATATAATATAATTTTTTTATTTTGATATATGCATGGCAGCTATACCTTGTAATTTCTTTTGATTCACTTAAAATTTAAAAATACATTTTGATGTATCTGTGCCCATCTCTGCTTCCTAGCATAGAACCTCCCGCATGTGACCTCATGTGTCTAATGTGGTTTGTAGGCAATCTGGCATGTAGGGTGTGGCATCATGGGTGCAGTTAAGCAGGGGACAAAAAAAGGCAAGTAACTACTTGCTTAAATTTCATGGCCATCTTTCCAATAGATATCCAAACAACAAACCTCATGGCAACACTAGAGGAAAAGTTAGTAGAACACAAATGTCCGTGGGGTTCCTCATGTGGTGACCATGATTGTCCACACTAATTATTAACTAAGTTATTGGAGAAACGGTCGGACAGATGGACATTACTCTCCCTGGAGCCCTGAGATTGGACTGGCAAGTCACATTTGAATCAGCACTAAATCTTTTTCACTGACATGTAAGCAGGGTTTGCCTCGGTGTCAGGTCAGTTTGCCTCAGGGTTCACAGCATTTTCGTGAGTCACACAAGGAGGTAAATCTTCCATCAAGGGAGTCTCTCCCAAAGATGCAGCCTTTTTTTAAACCAAATTTCTTATTTGTGTTTCCATGTTGAGCTGCAGTGAAAGGACGGTAACACAAAGAGTAAATGTTGTACAAAAAATACTGTAACTTTGGAAGATCATCACTTGATTTCAGCCTGCCGTTCCTTAAAGTATATAATTGATAGCAAGGAGGACTTCTAACTGGTTAAACTATCTTTTATTAGTCAATAAAAATCAGTTAGTATCAAGACAGAATAACCAGCCCTGCCTGGTTTGTTAAACAATTGAAATGTGACCCAGACCACAATAAGATTCGTGACAATAGTGCGTACACTTTTTTTCAGAATCCAGGTTACTATGATATAGTAGCAGAAGACATGTCTGTGTGGCATGTACCCAACAATTTCCCACTGGAGCACTGGAACCTGGCAGCCATCCTCCGCTACCACACTGACAACCGCTTTCTCAACCTGTATGGAGGGAACCTCTTTCAGCTCTTCAAGGTAACTCAGTAGTGTATTCAGGGGTGTAGCACAAGATTAATAATTTTGTTCAATAAGGTACTCCGCGTCCTGAGTGTAGTCATGTTACATTACAACTTAGATAACAAATGGATGAAGGATAAATTATTATACAATAATCATCAACTTCATAAGCAAGCCTGTAGGTCTACAGGTACATGCCCTCATGAGTGAAGACAAAATTGTCACATTCTTCCAGCAATATCCAGTGAGATACAATGTTGGCTTGTGCAGCAGCAGAGGGCCAGCTATTCCCATTGTGTATGACCATGGAGACAAGGAGTCCACCAGAATGTTATACGGACCCAATCCAAGAGGTAAAACGCTCATGTAGCAGGAGGGAAATGGAGATAATAAAGAGCTTTTTCACCATCATGTATGAATGCCAAATCCATGTCAAATTTTTTTACTTAAGAAAAGTGACTTATTAAATATTCAATTTACCTTCAACATGAAAGGTTATCATTGAGTTATTAAACAGTCAAGACTTAGCTAAAGGCAGGGCAAGGCAAGGCAAGTTTATTTGTATAGCACATTTCAACAACAAGGTAATTCAAAGTGCTTTACATAAAACATAAAAGCAACAGGGAAATATAAAAAAGTTTAAAAGCAACATAGGGAAATTGAAAAAATACACATTAAAATATAATAAAAGTTACAGTGCAGTGTACAATCAGGGTTAAAAGAGTTAAATGGAAAATAAAAACAGGCTGAGGGGTTGAGCAGTTACAATTATTTTGAAAAGAGAATAAACAGAGAAGTACACTTAATCTACTCTCTCTAGCTAGTCTGTACTCGGGTCCATAGCAATCTTTGGGTCCACTGAAACTCCAAAAACCCTCGGACACTACAGAGTTTACAGGTGGACAGAGGTTCCTGCAAATCACTCGGGCGCGAGATTTAAGATCACTTCCTTCACTTCAATCTCACTCTCATTATCTTTTCACTCAATTACCTACTCATTTCTCACCGTGTAAATATTTAATTAAAAGCAATGGTAAAAAGCTAAAAACAAAGAAAAAGAAAACGGGACAGTAAAAGTTACAATGCAGTGTAAGTTATCAGTCTACTAGTTAAAGACAGTGGTAAAAAGAAAAATCTTAAATATTTAATTAAAAGCTATGGTAAAAAGAAAAGTCTTCAGTCTTAATTTAAAAGAACTGACAGTTTCAGCAGACCTGCAGTTATCTGGGAGTTTGTTTCAGATATACGGAGCATAATAACTGAATGCTGCTTCTCCTTGTTTAGTTTTGACTCTGGGGACAGAAAGCAGACCTGCCCCAGATGACCTGAGAGGTCTGGATGGTTCATAACGAAGCAGAAGATCAGAAATGTATTTTGGCCCGAAACCATTTAGTGCTTTATAAACTAACAGCAGGATTTTGAAATCAATTTTTTGACATACAGGAAGCCAATGTAAAGACCTCAGAACTGGAGTGATGTGATCCACCTTTTTGGTCTTAGTGAGGACTCGAGCAGCAGCGTTCTGAATCAGCTGCAGCTGTCTGATGGATTTCTTAGGGAGCCCTTCAAGGACACTGTTACAGTAGTCGAGTCGAATGAAGATATGATGGGTGATAGTAGGCTGACTTTGTAATTGTCTTAATGTGGCTCCTCAAATTCAGGTCTGAGTCCATGACTACACCAAGATTTCTGGCTTGATTTGTGGTTCATAACATTACAGATTGAAGTTGAGCACTGGCTTTCAATCTAAATTCAAACTAAATAAATGCTGCTACAATTAAGCTAACCTTTGATAAACTCACTATGTTTTTTTCCGTTCATATGAAAGCGGAGTTTGAACCAGGTTTCATCACATTCAGAGCAATAAACAATGAACGTGCAGCCATGGCTATCTGCTCCGGGGTCAAGCCAAAAAACACAGGATGCAACACTGAACACGTGAGTCTGAATCTGTCATCGCACTTCTGCTGTCAGTCAGTCATCAAAGAAAATGACACACAGTCTAACAATCCTGTTGTTTTGTGTGTGTGTGTGTCCAGTACTGTATAGGAGGAGGTGGATTTTTCCACCCTGATCAGTGTGGGGACTTCCCATCATTTGACTGGGACAGACTGGGAAGGGAGCAAGGCTGGAGCGCTTCCAAAGAGATTACTGAGGCTGCTGTTCTACTGTTCTACCGCTGAGAACATTATTTGCACATGTAGCTTAAATGTATACTATATTATATGTCACGTCAGTCTAATCAACAATCTTTATCACAGCATGTGTCATGTTACAGAGAACTAGCTTTAAGTTTCTGTATGTGTCATTCATTGGCCATAAAGAACAGTTCAGCTATTACAGTAATTCAGCCATAATCCAGTAGATGGCAGTATTGAACTGCATAATCAATTTCAAAATCATTTTATCGTCTAACCCATGGAGGGCGGGGGCTTGAAATGTATTTGAGTTGAGAGTGTGATAGTCTCCTGTATGTGTGTTTGCAGATATTAAAGCCACTACCTTTTGCATCTTGTCTGTTTACTGAGATGTTCTTTCAAAACCCTCAACTGAAGATTATTGCCGTCTGTCTGACTGCTATGATCCTGTGATGTCCATCATCTGTGTGCCATCATCTCTAAACTACCCACATAGACCTTGATTCTGACCTAACTCTCAGACCTTAAAATTGAGTGCTGTCGGTTGAGAGGTCACATTGCTGAAAGGAACAAAGGCAGGTTTGGGCAAAAATACAATTGTAGTTTGTTTTTTTAAGACAATGAGTGTTGGCACAAAATGATTTACCTGTAATACAAAAACATTAAGAGGAAGAGGTGGGTGTTTTTTCTGCATATGTATTTATTGTCATCAAATCCCATCAAAAACAGATCAAAACCAACAATGCATTCCTTCCCGCCTTGTCTGTGGTTCTCTGCACCAAGTCGATTTGTTCCTGCTGAAGATGTACATTTAAAAAAATGGGTCACAAATATATACTTTTATTCACAAATAAGAAAAAACAGCTTGGTATTGTAGTTTTTAGGAAATGTTACTAAAACAGGACCAAATACTGCATTTCTTGGGGACTATTTAAAGCTGTGGATTAATACACATTTGGTATGCTAGTGAGTGTATACAGCAGCAGGCTGATGTATGTGGGATTAACTCAAAATAAACGACAGTTCCCACATTCATTGTAATGAATAAACATGTCACCCAGTGCAACAGTGGGCCTTGTGTGTTATTAATAGTTTTTGGACAACAAAGGAGGCCTGTGACACAGAGACATAGCTTTGGCTACACAGACAACACTTGTTAGAGGGAACAATTCATTGTTCATGTTCTTTTTATGGGATTTGTTGACAATAAGAAACTCATCACCAGTTTGCTGTATCGTTTAATATAGTGGGAGTGACAAAAACTTGTCTTATGTGCATGCTCTGAAATTCCTCAGAAATGCTGAAGGAGTGTGGAGTAAAAATGTCGCTGACAAAGGTTAAATGTTTACCTAGAGACCGAGAGGGGATGAAAAGAGGAAACCGTGAGGATGAAGACATTTCGCACGGTCGTTCCTGTAGTCTAAATTTTATGCACAGTATGTTTAATGATAGATTACAGTCCACTTTATTGTGCTTCAGAACTTTAATAATAGTTCTCTTCAGTATGTTGAGGGGTAATATTTCTGACTTGGACCTCTTAGTGAGACAAAAAAAAGCAAATGTGAGGAGTGTGAGGTAAATATTGTGTTTAATAAACAAACATCAGTCAGGGAACTGACATTAGTCTGGGGATCGAGAACGGGGTGGGGTGGGGGGGTATAAAGCACAATGCACATGTGTAGAGGTGGTGGGACATATTTATCTGTTACACAAGGTGCCCCCGTACAGTAGGAGCAGGAAGTTCTATATAACATACAGATCAGGATCCAAGTCTACGGTACAAAAACTTAGCAGCAACATGTTAACGTCGGAGACCAAGGGGCTAACAAAGTAGTTTCATTTAGAAAAAGTCACAGTATTCATTAAGCATAAATTTGTTAAAAAGGTAAAAACAGTTCTAAGCATCCTCTAGGGTTAATGCTACTCACAAGATCTGTGTGTGAAAGACATAGGTAGGGAAATTATCTATACATTTATACTCTAATATAAAGACCTTCTGGTAATGGCACAGTACAAACTCTCAGGAAACGCGACAAAAATATACAATGTCTTCACGTCACATTTGCAGATTAAAATGTAACTAAGGTCTCTGGCAAGCACAATAGTTTCAGTGATCAAAAAAAACAACTTCTCTTCAACCAAAATAAAGGACACCATTTTGTTAGTTCAGCTATCTTGACAGATTATGTCTTTTTAATACAAAAATAAGGACAAATATAAATTAATATATATTAAAAGAATCAGATTGATACATAGGGGATCTACTGAATAGGTACAGGTATTTATGATACAATAAATACTTGTCATTCTTGACTGGGGTAGATAAACAGAGAGTAGTGTATTTACCCAGACAGGTAATATATATAACGTCTGCAGGTGAGAGCATTTGTATGTGTGTGTGTTTGTGTTGTTCAGTAGCTGTAAAAAATACCACAAGTTTAAGCACAGCTGTGTGTTAGATCGTGCACACAGTCTCACAGGGTTCTGGAGGTCTATTGAGGGAGACCTCAGACTACAGTGGTGGTTTCTTGTGTTGTATGAGGTTATCACTGCCCTCCTTCTCTGATGCCTTAATGCAGCGCCTCCTAGTGGTGAGTCTGTGGTACTATCAGTTAAAGGTTACTCCTAAAACACACAACTCACAGACAGGAAGCAGGAAGTCTAGAGGAAGCGGTCAGCTGTCAGTGACTGCTCCGGCCTCCAGGGAAGAGACAGTGTGGCACAACATTGGAGTCATCATGACCAACGAAAAGAAGTAGATGTAAGGAAAAAGTCAACTCGTGTTTTTTTTTTGTGTGTTTTTCTCCACTTCATAATAAAAAATAAGTCTGTTTTTGTACTTTACAATACAATTCAACATCCCCACCGAGGAAGCATCAATCATCAGTCCAGCACTGACAAGAAAAGAAACTCTTAGTTGTTTCTCTTGTTTTTTTTTGCCTTTTTTAAGGGTTTTTAAAAAAAGAAACAGTGTGAGGTTGGGGGCTGTGGAGGGTAAAGGATTTTCTCAGGAGGAATTGGGACCTTGGACAAGGGGAACAAGGGTCAAGTAAGGCGGGCAGGAACATAAAACATATCAGAAGGGGAGGAAATCTGCAAAGGGTGTTGTCTCTTTTCTTTTCTTTTTTTTTTTTATGAGGAACACTTTGTACAGCCACACTTGACCACTTTCTCCACTTCCTGGACAAAAGAAGAGCCGTCAGTGCACTGGAAGGTGTATTTCCTGCGTTTGCTGCGCAGGGGGGTGCAGCAGGTGCCCTGTCCTTCTGCTCCCCCCGGGCAGCTACCCCGACACTCTAGACGGGAGACCTTCTCCTGGGTTTGGCACGCCGCGTAGCCTTGCTGTCTCTGGTAGACATCTCGGACCCGTTCCCCTCGGCAGGCCACCTCTGCAGGCATGGAGGAGGGAACAGAAAGGTTACAAGTTATCTATGCTTTTAAATTTTTTTTGCTTATTTTTGTGGCCATCTGTAGGATATATATGACATATAAACAATAACTCAACATTATTAGTGGACAGTATAGAGGACAAGAAGAGGACAGTAAAATGAGACGAAGTGACACCATGAGGGATGACGCAACGCAAGAATCCCCTGCTATAAACAAGCAAAATATTGTGAAATGTTGAGATATTTGCTAATATCAAACCAAAAGAATCTTTCAATTGTGTACAGCATCATGAGATTTGTGAAACTAACATAGCAATCGGGCCACTACAAAACTGTGACATAAAACCTTGATAAAAAGCCCAACAATTTCTTATTCTAAATAATGCAAACATACTGAGATAAAACCATGCAATCCACTTTTCAGACTTCTTTCATGTCCGCTGTAGTTAAAACAATTGATTGTAGATCTTACTAAGAAAAATCAAGTTAACTGACAAGATTATCTGACTAAAAATAAGATTTTATTATTCAAAAACAAAAAAATCTTGAATTGTCAAATTGCTGTGCAAAATTTGAAAGATGAAAAATAACAAGCATACTACTGAAACTACATGTTGCATAAGGTGAAGATAAGGTGACGCAGGGGTGTTGTGTAGATATATATTGGGCTGCAATGGAAAGGAAACAAGGAAAAAAAGACAGCAAAAAGAGGCCGACGAGTAAGATGTTACCAGGCAGTCTCACCTGAGAAATCCCCCGCGAGGGATTAAGAGGAAGCTCAGGAGATGCTGAGTTAAAAGAGCAACAGGTTAGAAGCATTAATGCAGAGACACACTGTTAGAGACACATGCACACTGCTGAGAGGTTATTGTTGGGAAAGTAACAGAGGTTCTGTTAAGATGCTTACATACAAAAGCTTGAAGATCATTATTTTTAGAAGAATGTGAGAAGTCAGTTTACTGTAAACACAGGTAATAATCTTTACACACAGACACACTCAGAACATGTTTTTCTCACCTCTGTCACACGCCTCTCCTGTATATCCACTGTTACACTCGCAGTAAGTCTTGCCCAGGCCCGACACTCTACATTTGCCATGTTTACAGCGAGACAGACTGCAGGGGTTAGCTGCATCTTGGTCCTGCTCATCACAGAGTACACCAGCAAAACCAGGCTGGCAACGACAGGAGTAGGAGTAGGAGTTGATTGGAAGGCAGGTACCATGAATACACCTGAGGATGGAGGAGGGAGAGACAGTGAAGATGAAGATGTGAATGCATATACAAATCTTCCAGCTATACCCCTCTTTGAACCCTGGACATAAACCTTGTTCTCACTGTGGTTTTAAACTAGTACCAATACTGTAATCACTCAATCAGCAACACATAGACAAAGCAGCACAGAAAACACTCACTTGTTGCCATCACAGGGGTTGTTGACTTGCTGGTCACACACTGTTCCCGTCCAGCCAGGGTGGCAGGTGCAGGTAAAGCCACGATGCCCTGTTGGGTGACAGTCACCCTGGACGCAGGCGCCTCTCTGGCAGGGCTGGCAGCCTGGCTCCACTCCGTGGCCCAGCCACTGTCTAGTGGTGCTCTGTGCAGTGCCAGAGCCTGAAGCTCTTGGCCCCAGCCCGGCCCCTAGGTCCTGGAGTTTTCCGTTGATGTACAGGTTGCGGAGGCAGCCATGGAAGCTGGTGCCGTTGCGTCCTCCTGAGCTATGCTGCAGGGATGAGAGGCCCCCGGAGGCTGAGGCACGTTCTGGCATACCTGGATTAAGAAAGGAGTGATTAGAGGTACATATTTAAACAAATCAAAATCAAATCAAATTTATATTGTGGCTTTTTTCACAAATAAACAAATAGAAAGTGATAAAAGGTCACATAAGAGAATAGATTAAAAGATAACAGATTAAATAATAAAACTAATGTTATTTGTTATTTGAATACTAAGCTGAAATGTAGGATTTAGTAGTTTAGATGAT